TAACTTGATAGTAATATGCTATAAGTAGTTTATTATTAAAAAATATGTTTATAACTTGATATTTATCATCTTAAATGTGTGTGTAGTGTTATTTATACATAATATAAGTGCTGATACATTTATCTGATGCGTCAATACATTAATCGTTAAGTAAGATACATTACATTTTATACATGATATACTAATATAATATACATTTTATATATGATACACTAATCTGAGCGTGAGATACATTACTCTGATGCGCGAGATATATTAATTCGACGCATTGATACATTAATTTGATACGTAAAAACAAAAAAATTTAAAAATTTATAAAACTAATAGTGAATAATGATAATAAAAAATTTAAAGGTGAGAATTCTGTTATTTACCATTTTATCCATTGCAACTATACAAAGAGGGGTAGAAAAAGGATTCAGTCACGCTTTGGACATTGCTACCGGAATCGTTGAGGCTCCGATCCCTTATTTTTAGGCTTACCACGTGGCTGATTCCTCTTGCGACGTCTGTTGAGAGGTAGCATCCAATAGATCTATCTACTAGGCCTTTCATCGTGGAAGCAAATGAAAGACGCGATACTCATTAGCGAGCGTCTGGTGACCAACGATTTCGGAATTCATTTTTTTTTTGTGTGTGTAAAATAATAAGAACAAAGAGAAGAAAAAGTCACGTGGTACACTATGGTACGAGAGTGGTAATGTCGGTTGTTTTTTTTTGACAGTCAACTGTAGATTTATTTCTCAGTCTTTTTTTTTTTTTGGAATTTACTCAATCATTCTAATATTATTTTACTACCTATTTAATTATTTAAAATGTTGGACGTTTTCTTAATCAGAACATGGCAAAAGAAAAGAAAAATAAAATTTTGGTGGCGGTGGACGAAAAAGGACAAGAACATGAGCACATGATTTAATCTTTTAGTGTATAAAATAACAATTGTAAGTACAAAATAAAAATTAAACTTCTCATGCAAATATTAAAATTTATTCATTCATGCTTATTTTAATTTAACCATATATTATAAAGGAATAAAAGAAAAGTTGTTATAATATTGATGATTTTTTATCTCATATTTTCAATTTTTGGTGGTTTAAAGTTAGTCCGAACATGTGCTAATGAAAAGTGATTAATTTTCCGTACTATTAAATTGAATCAACGGTATTATTAATATTATAAAGGCACAAGTCACAACATATAAATATATCGATATCAATATTTTTTAATTTTGAGTTTGCATGAGTATGTATTTGAATTTGAATAAATATACATATGATTCTACGTGATATGATCCTACGTGATATAATACACGTAAGGTGCAATTTGTTACATAGGATGTCAAATAAGATGCAAATGTATTTAATTTTATACAAGTTAAAATATCTACTTATAGTCACTCAAAATTATAAATAAATATCAACTGAAGTCGAATTTAAAAGAATATGTTTATTTGTTATGTCTGTTACAATTAGGGGTATGCATTTGTTTTCTCGCTTGGTTTTGCACTATTCAGTTTGAATTTTTTGCTTTTTGGTTTTGCACAAGTGTACTCAATTCGATCCAAAATAAAATTGGTTTGATTTTCCTCTGTTCGGTTCGATTACCAAATTCGATTATTTCAATGATTAAATAACATAACCAAAGTAATTAATAATATTGAATCCCTTAAATATACTTTCTAATATAAATCATAAGAAAAACTTAAAACGCAATACATATAATAAGTATACCTATCATAGATGTTCAAGCATAAAATTTAAACGTAATCATTGTGAAAGACAGTAACTAAAAAGGGACAAAAGTGGTTAACTAAACATATATACACATATATATCAAATTCAATTTCAAAAAATAAAACAATCTATTCAAATAAAAATTTAATTTGATTTGATTTAATTATTCAATTTAACTCGAACAATACGTGCCCCTAGTTATAATAGATAAAAAGAAGGGAAAAGGCTCAAATATGTCAGTGAACTTTTAGAAAAGACTAATTTTTGCCAATAGTTATAAGTTTGGCTAATTTATGTCATTCATGCCATTATTTTTTTAACTGTGATTTTGCAAAACCATTTACGACACGTGATCAATTATAATTCGGTCACGTAATCAATTTTTTTTATTTTAAAAAAATAACTCAATTTTTATTCAGAACTTCAATTTTTTTAATTGAAAAAATTGATGGCGTGATAAATTATAATTCGGCCACCTCATCAATTTATTTAATATAAAAAAAATTATTTTTTTTAGAATTATGATTTTTTTATTAAAAAATTGATTAAGTGGACGAATCATAATCGGCCACATATCAAAAATGATTTTGTAGAACTACCGTTAAAAAATAATGGCATGAATGAATTTTTTCTTTAACGATAATGACATAAATAAACCTTACTTTTAACTGATGACATAAATAAATTTTTTCTAAAAATTTGATAGGATATTCGAGTCTTTTCCCTAAAAAGAATAAAGAAGGGGACATACCACAATGTTCAAGAGTGAAAAGCAATTTATTAAAAAAAGGTGAATTTTTCAAACAATCATGATGATAAACTATGATGAAACCTCCAAACAAGCAGGCAATAGCACATTACCTCACCTCACACTTTGTTACAATTAATAATTGCTACACCAAAAAAAAAAAAAACTTTTACAATTATATCTAACTAATTAAAATAAAAACATTATGATAAATCTTTGTCATATTAAAATCCAAGGTTAAATCTCATCTATATAAGTCATATGTTTGATTTAGTTTAATTAGTATGGTAATGGACAACTTATTCTTAATTATTATGTTTTAGAAATTCAGTCAAAGTCATAAGTTAGTTTTTGATCCTTTTACTTCAAGTTTAAGGAGTTCTCAATACCTTTTTTTTACTTCTTACCAAGTTATAATAATTACACTTAACAATATATATTTCATAATCCTCACTATTGGTTACAATTATATATAATAACATTATGCATGGTAATACTAATCCCATAATTATTGTCCTAATCATTACAACTATAGTAATGCTAAAAGACTATTAATTAATGCCTTTGCCAAATAACTAGTCAACTTACAATTTATCCTCTTTTGATTATAAGAAATCACGTTCACATACATTTTATACAAAAAGAATTTTACTTTTTTAATGAAGTGAATAAACTATCGCGATTATGAATTTGAATATTATTTAATGTGTAAAGAAAAATTACTTTTAATTCTTATTTTATTTTTTTCTTCCCTTTTGAATATTATTTCAAACTTCCATATCTAATTAAATACTAAAGGAAAAAAAGAAAGAAAGAAAAAACATAATTGATTATAAGTTTGTTGAGTTGCCTTTATCTAAATGATTGATATTTTAATTGAGTATTTATGTATAATTAAAGCTAACTTGATAGCTCAAACACACATTTTATTTTTCTGAAAAAGACAACTTAACTGAACATCTCTTAATCTTAATATAAAGTGCTTTTTTATCTTTTATTTAAACACTCAAACATATATTTCTTATTTGAATTATTGTCAATTAATTTATTATCTATTATGGTAATTAGTAGGTAAAGGGTGAAATTGGAAGTCTTAGTTCTCTAACTTAATTTTTTTTTTAATTCAAAAAATCAATCTTTAAAATATATACTCCACGTGTTCCATTTTTTTAATTTTTCAATTATTTTATATTTAATGTATTTCTATCTTTTCTCAAATATAAATATTTATTACACTAAAATGAATTTCCAACCACCATTTCTATGTTTTGGCATTTTTTGAAACAATATTTTTAATATTAAAAAGAAAAAAGGAAAGTTAAAATAATAAAAGACAATTAATGGTCCTTGATCACCGGAGCTGTTTTTTTGGTTAGTGGCTAGAATGTTTGGATAAGTCAATAACAACAACAATATTTAAATTCAAAATGAAAAAAAAAAACAAAGATTCCAGCAATATTGGCTAATAAAGTCGGTTGAGAATGACGAGATTTCATATTTAAATTTTAGTAAAGATTAAAATAATTGATAATTTTTTTATTTAATTTAGTTTTAGTGGAAAAAATTATCTGATATATATTAATTTTAGGAAGTAGTAAATATTATGTGAAATCTATATGTATTAATTTGATCTGAACATTGTGATTACGAAGAAAATAATGATATGCCATAAAGTACTAGAGGACCTAGTGGTTAATGAAGTCAATTGAGAATTCTGAGTTGATCAAATTTAAGCAAAGACTAAGACACCTGATGGTTTCTCTATTTGATTTAGCCTTGATACAAAGTTATTTTTCTATTTTAAATAGAAGATAACAGATATTTCGTGAAACTTATTTGTGCGTAAATTGGCGCGAACTCTATGATTATCACGAAGGAAATAATAATAATAATAATTAATATACCATGCAGTATACAAGACTGTGTTGTAGTAGCTAATGAACTAAGTCGAAAATTACAAAATATCATCTTCATAAGATAGATGATTTGTTCATCTGATTTAGTCTTGCTGCAGAGTTATCTGCTTCCTATTTCTGATTGGGGACAACAAATATCTATAAAATTACTTGTGCGTAATTTGGCGCGAACGCCATAATTATCACGAACAAAAAGGTAAAAATTAATATTTCACGAAGTACCCAAGATTGTGATATAGTGGCTAGTGAACTAAGTTGAAAATTACACGATATCAGAATCAAATTTCAACAGAGACGAAAAAACTTGTGATTTCTTTCATCTGGTATAACTTTAATGGAGAAATGTATCTGATACTTATTTCAAATGAAAAGTAACATATATCATTTAAAAACTTATCTACCAATACCTAAATTGACTCGACCATCATGATTAATTTATATAGCAGAAGAAAATAATGTTAAATCACATGTAATCATGTTTAAAAAGTTTTTTTTTTTAAAAAAAAAATCCAAATTCTTTGAATCTTTTCTTTATGCTTTCAAGGAAACAAATAATAAAAAGAAAAAAAAAAAGTGGTACCACATAAGTTTTAAGTATTTTTCATGTTCTCTTTCTTCTCTCTTCAAATCCCTCTGAATTTTCACAATTTCCATTTCCATTTCTCTTCCCCTTTCCCTTTTTAGCTTTTTCACTTTTCTTCAACAAAATTTGATTCCTAACTTTCTCTGTAGATTTTGCACTCACTCTCCCTTCCTTTCTTCCCCTCTCTGTCATCCACAATCGGAAGTTTTTCTTCTCTCTGTTGACGACGGACGGTGACTTTTGTCGGTGCTTCTTATCTTATGCTTTGTTGTTTTCCGGCGAGTTATCCGATTTGCGGTGCAGAATGGCTAATCGTGGCTACAAATTGCGTATCCTTTTTTTGAATTTTGCTATTCGTTCTATTTATTTTACTTAAATGTGCGTTAAGTTTGAATTTTACTGTGTTGTTATGTTTTCTGTTTGATCTGGGAGTGTTCTATAGAATCTTATAGTTAGCTGCTGAAAATCGAAGTAGGATTTTAGTAACTTAGATAGAAAAAAAAATTGAATTTGATTAGGATTTAGAGAATTTTGTTGGAGTGAGCTGAATAGTTGGATTTTTCTGGTATGATTTACTTTTTGTGCTTTTTTTGGTTTTATTAGTTTTTAGATTTAGCTAAGAGTTGGTGTTGTAGGTGAGTTTTTTGAGGTTTAATGTGTGATGTTGTTTTTAAGTTAAAGTATGTGGAGAAGTGACGAGGGTTGCTCGGATGGTAAACACCTTCTACCTCCAATTATAAGGTTGTGGGTTCGAGTCGCGGGGGAGAAAAAAGGTGGGATTTTTCTGGGAGGGGTTAAAAAAAAGTTGTGTGGAGAAGTATTTAATTTCAGCAATAATTTCTTGTGATTCTTGACTAATGTGAAATATAGAGGAATTTGTGGCGCATTCGGGGAATGTAAACTGTTTAAGGTTTGGGAAGAAGACGCGTAGACAGTTTCTCACTGGTGGAGATGATCAGAATGTGAATCTTTGGTCCATTGGTAAACCAACATCCACCACGGTGAGTTCAAATATCTATTCTTTCCAGTTCTCTTGCATGAGTAATGTTGTTATGCTTTATTGGGATAATTGATTTAGTTTCACAATGAGATCTTTCTTTTTCTGTTAACGTTTAATTCAAATGTAAATGCATTAAATGAGTGATCTATTATGATTATGCCTTCTATGCGGGAAGAGCTGCTGCTGCTGCTTTTGTTGTTGGAGCTTTCTCTAGATAATTAGAGTGGGTGAGGATTGAGGAATGAGGTTTGATGTGCATTTTGGATGTGGTAGAGAATTTGTAAAGTTGTTAATGCTGCCACTTAGATATAAGTGAGGTTATGTTATCATTGTTTCTTTATTGGTGCCTTATAAGAATCTTTACCACTTGAAATACCAGACTGCTGTGGTTCTTTTGGATGATCTGAAACAGGTAACACGTGGATCGTATATTTCAAAATATTATGGTTTATTAATCTAACTAATGTGTTTAGTTGCAACCTTTGGTATGATAAAGAATACAAATATGTGGAAACTGTAAACCTTACGAGTATCGAGTGATGGGTCATTCATCTCTATGAATGCATGAAATTATTTGTTGATTCCCTGTGTTGCAAAGAGCTGACTGCTACATGTTTTTATTTATCTTGAATCACTTTAGTCATATGGGACTGAATAGTCTGGTTTTGTGCTGTTCAGAGCCTAAGTGGGCATACGAGTCCAATAGAATCTGTAGCTTTTGACTCAGCAGAGGTTCTAGTGCTTGCTGGAGCTTCATCAGGTGTAATAAAGCTATGGGATCTGGAAGAAACAAAAAGTAAGTCGATTTATCTTTTTAGCTCTATATATTCTATAAAATGAATACTAGCTTTACTCTTAAAGAATTGCAGCGAAAGTGCTCGCAATACATTCTAAGAATGTGCTCACAATTTTTATTTTATTACATTGCTGCTTTATCCTCTTAAGCATGTGTCCTATTTATTAAATGTTGGTCTTACCTGTGAACTTCTAGCTACGAGAAAGCATCGCCTGAAGTTTCCTCAGCCTGTTGGCTTGATTATTTTGGTGTAAATGAGCTAAGTGTAGTCTTAACTGTAGTATATGTCTTTTTACATAAAAACGGCTAGTTGATTTTATTCCTCGTGCAAAGAAAGTTAACTGCTTCACTATAGTATGATGTACAGTTAATTGCAATTAACACTTACTGCATGGTCATGCATTCATTAACCAACTCCGTATGTAACTGAAAGAGCATCTTTGGATCTTCAGTTACACAAGAAACTTGCTTTATGATTTCAAGATTGACTCCAAGGGCGGATCTGTGTGAAGGCGTACTCCCTCACCGGGAAAATGCACTGTATATCTAAGGTCAAATTTGAATTTTATGAGTATATGTGTTATAATGAACCCCCTTGATGAGTTAAGAAACTTAGCTTAGAAGTTAAGGGGGTTCAACCATTCCCTGGGTCTCTGGTTCTATTCTTGCCCACTGCATTTCTTTTTCCCCTTGTTTTTGCTTTGACTTTCCTCGCAGATTGGGCTCAGCTTGCAGCTGTTTGGGCCTTAAACTCCAACCCAATTGGAAAGCCTCATTATTTTTGGGCTCCATTGGAAACTTTATGCTTCCTACTTTTTTGTTATTTTTCTCTTTTATTATATTTCTCCTACTCAATCTTTGGTTCCAATCTGTTAGGCACACTATTTTTGCCTTTTATTCTTCTTGTCTCTATTGCTCATTTTGTTTCTACATAAAAAAAACCCTTTTATGAACTAATTCCAGGGAACTCTTCTAAAAAATGATGAGTTATTGTTGAACTTGCAATTGAGATAGAAAACTATTTTTTAAAGAAAGGTAAAATTAAGAAATTTAAAAGTTGTGGAGATTCTTTTAACAATATCTATTTAATTGAACTTACTTTTTTTGTTTTTTTGGTATTTCTTTCCTATTTTTTCAATTGTATTTTCGATAGAGGAAAACCGAATTACACTAATTTAAATGAACTAAAAATGACGTTTATTTGACTTCTGAATCTGTATTATAGTATTAGTAACTCATTCCTTACACCTTTTTAAAGAATCTTGACGATATTCAAAGTAATTTATGATTGAATGGACACTAATTTGGAATATTTAAAAAATAAAGTAGAATTCTAGGAGGTGCGACAGGCACTTTGCCATCAATATACTTGGGCATGCCCCTGGAAGTTAATCTAACTTTGATCAACTCAGCTTTAGATGCCCTCCCTACGTGTATGTTATCTCTCTTCCATATACCCCAGTCAAAGGTTGGATAAAATCAGAAGAAACTTCTTGTGGCAAGGCAATAACGAAAGGAAGGGTTTTCATTTGGTCAAATGGAAGAACATTATCAGAAGTAAAGAACAAGGTGGACTAGGTATCAAGAACCTTAAATACCAGAGCAAAGCACTCAAGGTCAAGTGGCTATGGAAGTACCATCAGGAGGACCAAGCCCTCTGGTACAGGGTAATCAGGAGCAAGTATGAGCTACTGAACACATGGGTAACTAAAGAGGTCAAAACCCCCTATGGTATTAGCCTCTGGAAATCCATTAGAATATTCTGGCAGTTTCTCAATAATCAAGTAATCAATTAACTGTCAAAGTTCGAAATGGTAGAAAAACAAGTTTTTGGATTGATATATGGGTGGGTACTGTGAGCCCCTATGGTATTAGCCTCTGGAAATCCATTAGAATATTCTGGCAGTTCCTCAGTAATCAATTAACTCTCAAAGTTCGAAATGGTAGAAAAACAAGTTTTTGGATTGATAAATGGGTGGGTACTGTGAGTCTTAAAGATCTCTTTCCTGACATCTTTGTTTTGGCTCAACAACAAAAGAAAACTGTTGCTGAAATGTGGTCACCACAAGGATGGAATATGATCTTTAGAAGAAACTTGAATGACTGGGAAATTCCCAGAATGATTGAACTTTTCAAACTACTGGAGAGTTTCCAAGGAATCCAACCAGGTGAAGGCTATTTATGGTGGCATGGGCGCAACAAAGGAAGATACAGGCTGAAGGAAGGATATAAACAAACTAGTCTTATGGAGAACCAAGACTTCAAATGGCCATGGGAGCAAATCTGGAGAGTCAAAGTGCCACAAAAAGTGGCATGCTTCACCTGGATGCTAGCCAATGAAGCAGTCCTGACATTGGACAATGTGGCCAAGAGGCATATCTCTATGCAACAGATGCTCCTTATGTGGTAAGGGTACAGAAACAGTAAAACACCTCTTCCTACACTGCAATTTCACTGACCAACTGTGGCAGATTTTCCTTGATCTCAGAGGCATTTCCTGGAGTATGCCTAGTAAGATTGATGAGACTCTTTTCAGTTGGGAGGAGGCTGAAGTTGGGGCTACAAACAGAGAAAGATGGAGGATGATCCCTGCTTGTATATGGTAGAGTATATGGAGAGAGAGAAATGATAGATGTTATGAAATAGGGACAACAACCTGCAGGAAGTCGAGCTTAAATGTATTTTGTTGTTCTGTTTTTGTTGTACAAATGTCTACTCCAATGAGACTGAGTCAATCATAGATGGTTTAGGGTCCATCTAGTTCCTGGTTTAGCATTGGAAGGACTTTAATCTTTTTCTTCTTTTTGTAAATATGGTTTTTCAGTACTAAAGTAGTACTGACTGATATACAAATAGTACTAGTGTCAAAAAATTAAAGTAGAACATTGTGAAGTAAAAGAAAAGAAGTATCAGAAATTTCAATAAGGCTTGATGGAGCAAGGAAAAAGTAGGACAAACACTAAATGGGGAATGAAAAGATAAGTTAATTTATTGGGTTAAGGTTAGTCTTTTCCTTTCCCACTTTGCTCCATTTTTCATTTTGTAATTCGTGCGTGTTTGCTTCTTCACACTTCGAACCTCCTTTAGTGAAAAATCCTGCCTTTGCCATTGATTGACACTAGTTATATTTAACTGAACATCCTTCAAGTGTTTGAATTATCTGCGTGTTAAACAAAATATGTAATCCTATTGTGCTTAAATGAGCAAGTCATATCCAGCTTGACTCCTAATCCGGTAATTGTTCTTGAAGTGTAGTGGTTCGCACTCTTACGGGACACAGATCATATTGCACTGCCTGTGAATTCCATCCTTTTGGTGAATTTTTTGCATCTGGATCTATGGATACTAATCTTAAGATATGGGATATAAGAAAAAAAGGATGCATCCACACATACAAAGGTCATACTCGAGGAATAAGTACCATACGATTCTCCCCTGATGGCCGCTGGGTGGTTTCTGGCGGATTTGACAATGTTGTGAAGGTAATTCCTAAGTTGGCTAAAAAAATGTGGCATTATAGACTCTTTTTTTTCTTGAGTATTAACCTCTATTGGTAGTCAGGTATGGGACCTAACAGCTGGAAAGCTCTTGCACGACTTTAAGTTCCATGAAGGGCACATTCGATCCATAGATTTCCATCCACTTGAGTTTCTTTTGGCAACAGGTACTCCTTTTATTCTGTACCCAATCATAGAAATGGTGCTCTGAACAAATTTATGTCTGGTTTTCTTCCTTCCCTTATCTTTTCTTTTGATGTGAATGATTCTCCTTATCTCTGTCCTTAATCTTTCTTTTGTTTTATTTCATATTTCAGTCACGACTCTACATCTTCTAACACAAGGATCAAATTAACTTAGTGGTTAACATACCACTATAGCTTGTTTGGCCAAGCTACTGAAGGCCAAATATGTCTTCTTCTTTTTCCTTTTTTTTCTTTTTTAAAGAAACTCTTATTTAGAGATTGAAGGTATTTGGCAAAGCTTTTGGTGAAAGAAATAAGTGTTTTTGAGTAGTACTGGAAATTGCTTTTCAGCTTTCAAGCAGAAAGTGGAAAAAATAGCTTCTTCCAATAGTAATTGCTTTTTTTTCTTTTCAGACAAGATTACCCATCTAAACAATATTTACCGAATTGATTAGTTGTGGCTTCCTTTTTTCATAATTTACCACTCAAAAATACTTTTGCAAATTTTCCAAACTTATAACAAAAGAACTTCTCAAATAATTTAGTGAAACACAAACTGCGATTCTTCCTAAGTACTTTCTCGAAAAGGACTTTTGATAAGAAGTACTTCTCAAAAGAAGCTGATTTCGGAAGCTTGGCCAAACATGCTACATGCTTTTTTTACAGACTTGCCAAAAGGTTGTGTTTTTGCCTTCCCTTGTCATAAATAGTGGTACTTGCTTAACTTTTCAATTAGAAAAGAGAATGTGGTCAGTTAAAATGGAGAAATCACGGGAAAAGGTGCATGTTTTAAGCAAAAGGATTTATCTCACTGATTCATTGGGCAGATTATGAGAAGTTCAAACATTTCAAGAGGTGGTAGTGTAGTTGAGAGTGTGAAATGTTTTGAAGAATTATCTTGCTCTCCATTTATTATGGTCCATCTGTGATGGAATTTTAAAGCCAGATCCATCTTAAGATGGCATATTATAGCAGGATCAAATAATGGATTCTTCTAAACACAATAGAGTTTTGTACCTTGCCTCTATCCAAATAATGCTATTTTTTTCTGCTGTCCATGTGATCTTGTTTCAACACTTGAGTTGTTCTCAGGTTCAGCTGACCGCACCGTGAACTTTTGGGATTTGGAAACATTTGAATTGATTGGATCGACTCGACGTGAGGTATCTATGCATCTTCTTTCAACTTTTTACTCTTTAAAAAAATGTACACCATGTGCAAGCGAAGTATCTTGTGTTGCGTTCTTAGTTTGGCTGTTAGTTGTGAGGATCATATCCAGATATTTGTATACATTGGATGCTTTGTGTAATAACTCTGACTGCTCATACCTAAAGTTCCTCCTTGAAGTTGCCGTCTTTCCTGTTATGTGCTTATTCCCAAAGTGCTTGTAACTAAATAAGATATTCTATAATTTGCTGTTAAAAAATGTCTTAGAAGTTACAATTTAGTACGTTGGCTATACTACATGAAATGATTGAAGCGAAGCATTTATTTTGTCAACATAACTATGCTCTTTCTTTGATAAACAATTTAAGATCAAAATGGTCATCTCATGCGAGTATCTCTTCCCATCTTTCAGAGGATGATAGGAAGAGATTTCGTAGGAGACATATGACTTGGGTTCTGTTAAGAATATTGCCGTCTTTCTGCCCCTTATGTTTCAGTTTTCTCTTGGATGCATTAGAAGGATTTGTCAGATAAAACCATTAGACTTGCTCCTAAAGATATTTTCTGCCGTCTTTGTGCCCCTTATGTCTCAGTTTACTCTTGGATACATTAGAAGGATAGGTGGGCTAGAAGCGTAGAACCATTAGACTTGCTTTTCACTCCAAACGCTTTACTGGTCCAATGAATGTGGTGTTCTTTCAGGGATAGAACTGGCTATGTAAATAAATTTATCTTGCTTATATAATTTTCTTTTCTGGGTAATATTGATACCGCTGCATATTTTTCTGTGATTGAAAACAGGATATGATGTTGCTTCCAGTATATTTGTTTTGATTAAATTTTTATGTTAAAATTTAATCTACTCAGTTACAATTATGTTTGGAAAGTTTTGACGTGTTCTTCTAGGCTGCAGGAGTACGATCAATCACCTTTCACCCGGAAGGAAGGACTCTGTTTTGTGGATTGGATGATAGCTTGAAGGTTAAGCTCTTGGCATACTGCACTTTTGTAATTCTATTGTTGAAATAAGCAATTCTCATGTTTGTTGACCACCTTTATCCTGAAGGTTTATTCATGGGAGCCTGTAAATTGTCATGACTCTGTTGAAATGGGATGGTCGACTTTAAGCGATCTCTGCATACATGATGGGAAGCTTGTAGGTGGTGCTTATTACCAAAACTATGTTGGAGTTTGGGTTGCAGATATTTCGGTAATTAGCTTGATCACTGAAGCTTAAGTCAAACTAGTCCATGGCTTTAGTTTTCTTTACATTTGACCCATTGTTTCAAGATCAGTTTTTCGATTTGTCTTATTTGTTGTCTTTTCTGCCAGCTTATTGATCCCCATGGAGCTGGTTCAACTCCAGATAGACAAAGTAACTTGGAGCAGAAACAGGACCATGTGGAGAGTCGTTTAGAAAGAATAGGAAGCAACAGAAGTTCTAATTCAAATCTTCGCTGCACATCACCTGATATTGATTCCAAGGAAATAAAGAATATATATGTGGACTGTAAGTTGTTTTAACATCCTACTCTAAAAATCAGACCATGGAAACCAAAATATTTTTTAGCAACTTGCGATTAAGAAACTCTAATATTGACATCTTGTTCAATTATAGCCATACACTTGGGGTGGAATATAATGGCCTGGTGTAAGTGGTTACCTGATATGGTGATAACTGGTCTTCTGGGTAAACCAACCTGTTCCGTACTTTTAGGCCAATGTTGGGTACTTAGAAGATTTCACCTTGCCACCGACATATCCTTCCATGAAAGGGTTTAATGAATTTCATCATAGTTATTCAATACTAGGTCATCAAAAAAATAAATAATAGTTATTCATTACTAGTTGAAATGCAACTTTTTATTGAATACTCTTTCTACTTCATTTAGTATCACAAATTTCAGTTTACATATCCACATCTAATTGCAGTTCTATTTCCATGCACTTAATAGTTTCTTTTTGCAGGTGAAAATCCTGTAACCATTAAGAAAGTTACTTCTCCTTCTCCAAAAGTGGTTCCTCCTTTAAATTCTAAGGAAAACAAGAATCAGTTGAGTCAGAAGCTTAATTCTGTTGTAGGTTTACCTGCAAAAATTAATGGATTGCCAGTAGGTAAATCATTTGTCGTCCCCAGTGTGGTACCTCGTGATATTCCAGAGGAGAAGAAATTGGATACTTGTAGAAGGGAATCTGTTTCTGCAACCAGTGCAAGTAGTGGTATACCACAAAAGCCGTCTCACATAAAGTGCCCATCCAGCAACAACTTTGATATGGAGAAGATCTCTGTGGCTCTTCAGTCTGAAATTGCAGACAACTTGCTGCATACAGTAGATAGTAAGAAGGAATCAGATATTAATAGCAGGCTTATGGCAGATAATGATTCCAGAGAACGTTCCGAGGCAAAAGATTCTGCTGGCAAGCATGGTGGAGAAAAGCTAGAGAAAACTTCATTGCAACCACCGCTGAATAGTCGGGAGAACCGTTAGTTCTAAATACTCTTTATTTGAATTGACTTTTGAGCTCTCTATGGTCTGTTTCCGTGTTGTACAGTTTTCTGCATTCTTCCTCGGAGGTTTTCTGCTAATTTTGGGCTGGTGATCTCTATTTTAGTTACAGGTTTTCTTCATCTTAAGGGATTTGCTCATTAAAACTTGCCTTAAAATAAAACATTAAACTACAAGATATTTCTAGTTTGTATTTGACCAGTGTTCAGAATTTTATGGCGAAGTATTGTAAGAATGTTCAAATTTTTATTTTTATTTTTCCTGATCAGTGCTATGATGTGAAATGTTTTTGAAAAGTCAAAATTAGCTAGCGAAATCATGCTGGCTGAAATAATCATTTTCTGCTTTTGCTTGACACTCTGTAAGTTGCTTGTATGCACTTCCTGGTTTGCTTACATTTCAGTTCTTCTTTAGGTTTATAGTTTTGTACTTGGCCTTTTCTTTGCATATATAGATGCATAAGTTAGAAGCATGAAAACAATATTAATTTAATTTCATTATGTTTCAGGTAATGTGGGTTCAGAAGGTAGGAAAGAGTTGCATCCAGTTAGATTTGTGAATGGAGGTTAGTGTCTGATAAAACTATGCTGTAAGAAAAGGAAATTTCAAACAGTCCTTTTTTTTTTTGTACGAGAAAATCCAACATTGTAACTAATGTTTTGTTATGGCAGTGGCGGTAGTGCGAGGAAGGACGCGCAGTTTGGTTGAGAGGTTTGAGAAAAGAGAAGGGTTGAACATAGATGATGTCCATAAGCTGGATGTGGTGTCTCATTCTAAAACTGAGGAAACAGATGTATCCCCTTTGCCACCTTCTTGTTGTAAAGATGAGGAACTAGAAACCTTTTCCACAAAATTTGAAGAAGAACCAGAAACATCACCTTTGACAGCTTCTCGTTTTAAAACAGAGGAAGCAATGCGCCCCATGCCTCTAGCTCATTCGAAAGTTGAGGAAACAAATTCATCTGCTTTGCCAGCTTCTCAATATGAAGTTGAGGACTTAGAAGCATCCCATAAGCCAGCTTCTAAATCTAAATCTGAGGAAGTAAGAAAAAACCATTTACCAGCTTCTCATTCTGAAGCTGAGAAATTAGAGGCATCCCTTATGCTAGCTTCTCAGTTTAAATACGAGGAAGTTAGAGAATCCCATTTACCAGCTTCTTGTTCTAAAGCTGAGGAATTTGAAGCATCCCCTATCCTAGCTTCACAGGTTAAATCTGAGGATGTAAGGAAGTCTCGTTTGCCAACTTCTCGTTCTAGAACTGGGGAATTAGGAGCATCCTCTATACCAGCTTCACAGCTTAAACCTGAGAATGTAAGAAGATCCCGTTTATCAGCTTCTCGTTCTAAAGCTGAGGAACTAGAAGCATCCCCTGTGCCTGTTTCTAAGTTTAGAAGTGGAACAAGAACATCCCGTTTGTCGGCTTTTCGTTCAAAAGCTGAGGAAGCTAAAACATCACGATTATTAGCTTCTCGTTCTAAAGCTGAGGAGGCACAAACATTGCGCCTGTTGTCTTCTGGTTCTAATGCTGAGCAACCACAAATAGCTCCTTTGCCGGTATTGATCTTGTGCCATCTATAGTTGATTGTTTCTTCTTTCGTTGTGTTTTGTTGAAATTTTGAGATTGCCTGGTCTTATCTGATATACCTTTACATTCTGTCTAAGCGATGCCACGAATGCTGAAATACATGTCCTCCGCTGTGCTATGTAAATTATGTGAGCCTAAAAAAATCTATCATAGCTAGTGCACTTGTTAGGAATCAATTGTTCCGTATCTAATTCATCTACTAGGAATGTGGTTTAAACTTTTAAACAGGTGATGAGAGAATTTGGTGCTCTCTGGTTTTGTTAACAGAAAGAATTCTCCTAGAATTACATGTTCCAGGCTTTATTTTTTTCTTCCGTCTCATAAGTTGACATAGGGAAATGGCAGTGGAGTTGGGGTCACTACGGTTTTCACTTGTAACATTGATTTTATTGCAGCCTTCTCTTTCAATATTTCAATCTTATTTGGTAAATACTTTCTCACCATTGGCACAACTCTCTTATGTTATTTGCCTACATGCAGGATGCTAATCAGCAGATCATTGCACGGTGTGAGCCAGTGCAGAATGATGATATCATTATTGAAGATCTTATGCAACGCCATGATGTGCTGCTAAATTCGTTTAGATCTCGTTTGACAAAGCTGCAGGTAACCTTTAGCTTATATTTTTTATAGTTTGAGCTTATGTCTACACGTGTCACACATATACTGGTTTCTGCATTCCTAACTTTATCTTAATAGGATTTAACTCTTTAGAAACGTCAGTCTAATGTTGACAGCGTGGAATGTAATTCTTGTAGGAATTGGAAGATCTTTTAATTGATACTTATGATATAGGAAAAACTGTGTGTGATCCTGTAATGCTTGAAGCCTCTTACAAGTATGGTCTTTTAAACTCACAGGTAGTTCGTCACTACTGGGAACGGAATGACATCAGGGGTGCTTTTGAGGCCTTGAGGAAGTTGTCAGATTATTCTGTGAGCATTTATTCTTCTGTCATAGTGGTCTCTTCCCAAATATTATATTTGATAAACTCTCTAATGTATTTCTTAAATTTATTTCCTCTTGCAGGTGCAAGCTGATGTTGTGAGTGTCCTCGTAGATAAAATGGAGATTATCACTTTGGATTTGTTTTCCTTCTTGTTGCCTGTACTGTTAGCCTTACTTGAAACTAAGATAGAAAGGTACGTAGTGATACAACTCATTGCTTGTTGCCTTAACTGTTTCCAGTTTGACATCCTTCAAATATGATCTAAAAATACTGCTTAAATGATAACTGCGGTATACATGGTGATTATTTATTCTTTGATACATATCATTACCAATCAAGCTCGGGTGACTCTGGTTTTGAATTTCTGGAAAAAAAAAATATTGGTTTTCCTTCTCCATCCTGCCAAACTAGAAGTTTTTGCAAACATGGTAATATATAAATTCGAAAGGTTAGAACAGAAAAGAAGGAACGATACATATCTTGGCAAACCTTGACATTTAACATGGTGGTGAATATTACTTGCTTCAAGGGAAGCATAAGAGATAAAAGGGACTACCTCAGATGGTTTCTTAGCTTTAAACAATTTCTGGTTCTGTCTGTGTGGATATGGGGGTTGCATAGCACACTTATTTATTTCATTGAATTCTGCTGTTAATTTTTATTTTATTTTCTGATTGCGCTGTTAAATTTTATAGTTATATTTTTTTAAAATTTCTTATTCACATGTTGATTGCTTCTGTCTTTTTTACTCTTCTTTAGGCATGCAAATGTTTCCCTGGAGCTGTTGTTGAAACTTGTTGCAGTCTTTGGACCAGTAGTTCGCTCAGCCGCTTCAGCACGTCCATCTGTTGGGGTTGATCTTCATGCAGAAGCAAGGTAATGATGCTTATGTGGCTAAGCAGTTCACTTCTTGTTTATATGCTTGGATGCTGGTAAATACAAAACACTTACCTGTCTTCGATTTTGTACACTGTAAAACAGAATTAAGTGCTGCAGGCAGTGCTTTGCCTACCTCCAAGATATACAGAAAACACTTCCTGAACTTATAAGGTAACTAAGAATCTACTTTTTTACTTTTCATAATTATGTTTGTTGTCATGAATTTATTTTATGGGTGGTCCAACTCATCCTCTCTTTATCTGGGATAGAGTTACTAGAATCCCAATAGAGCTTCAAAGTCAGAAAAATGGCAAGTATAGTGCCTCATTATGTTTGAGCCATCGATTAAGGTGTTGTAAGCATACTTCACAGTCAATGATGCACAACAAACTTCAAACCTAGTAAGAAAATGAGAATCTTTTGGTTTTAACTTTCATTGGACAATTGTTATGATCAAAGAATGGTGGATTTGCTATCATTGTGATTTATCACAAGTTTTGTATATTGAAATACGTTTGCTTCTATCATGGTAGCTTAGTAACTAGTGAATCAAATTGTTCTGATGCTTCATGATTAATGCTATCTGAATATGTTTGGTTTGTGGGTAAGACATTCAAGGCTTGATATCTAATACAATAGGTCCATGTTGAACTTTTGACATTTTAAAGTAGATGGATGCAACTTGTTGTCGAATAGGACTTCCCTTTGATATCTTTACCTTCTTTTGTTACATATCTAATGCAAGCTAAAAAGTCGAAATTCCTTATGTCTTGATGTTGCTTGCTATCTAAATTTCGCTTACGCTCTGTTGTAGGGGAGGGGGTCAGCCGGCAAAAGGTGCAGTACAATTAAATCTCCTACTTCAAGAATCATAGTCCAGTTTATGATATATGCTTTTCCTAATGGCTAAAGCGAGACAACGGAATGGGAAGTTAGCTACTATACAATGTTCTCAAACTTATGTCTCTTTATGGACACCCACAATTTTGCTCCTCGGGTTTCCGTCCTTGCTACCATTTTCACCAACCTTGTAACAGCGGAAAATTGGCAAGATGGAAATGCAGTGTCTGTCCTCCGCCACTGCAACTGGGTTGGGAGGCAAAGGTAAAAACTCTCGACATAATATATCCTTTTGTTGGAGAGTAGCATCGCTATCTTCATTCAGATACGCGGCTTGAACATATTCAAAGTTCCTGGCTGTATGTGTCCATCCATATGTAAGTTGTGTACATGTATCTGCAATAGTAAAAAAAAATTGGATGAGATGTGTACATCATTTGATCAATGAAACAGAGATTCATACACACACCTTCTCTTGCTATCAAAACTCAATATTGAACTTTCTTCTCAAGTCACTATAAGCCTATACTGGTAAGTTTAATTTTTAATTGCAGACTTAGATGATTGTCATTATACAATTAGACTCCTTTTGTGGAGTACATAGGCCGTTTTCAAATGAAGGTATCTACAATATTTTGGAAATTTTATTAGGAAATCGAATTTATTTTTTCAAAAATAATAAGGATGTACTGTATAAGGCTATGACTAAAGTTGAAATGATGTTCACAAACTCTGATTACAAATGACGCCATAGATTAAGAGGTTAACTACAATCCTAAGTTAGTGTTCTATGGTCTATACGTATAGTATATGTTTTAGATAATCGTTTTTCATGGGAAATATTTTTTTTCTTTCGTTTTCTTGTGCTGATACGTATGCAAAAAGTATGAAATGCCACATGTGAATATATTCGTTTTACTTTTATTAAAGTCATTTTTCTCATTTCTAAAGAATTTATTTTTTTTGAGATATTTTTCCTCTCGACCCAACACATCCTAAAGTAGAAAGGACGTTCACGTTATATGTTTCATTCAATTTATTGGTTAAACAAATGCTTGTCTTAGGAGATTAAATCACGCAATTCCCTTCCTTTTTCATCTTTTTTTTCTGGAATTAGTTGAAGTTAGAAGGTAGAAAGGAATAAAAATCGATCAATTTAAGCTATTAAAGTAAGTACTTAAGGCACAATTATATGTCTGAATCAGTTAAAAAAAATAGTAGGCACTTCATGTGAAAGGTATTTTAATATTGACCCTAAAACGACCTTAATCCAAGTATATCACTCGCACAAATTTTGCTACGTTGGTTAGTTTTTTATTCTTCATGGAAGTTTCTTGTCCCCTATCATTGTTTATCGACTGCTATTGTTGCTAGTAAATTTTACGTAAGACTTTGATATGTTTTAATTGAGCAAACGATAAAATATTCTTGTTAGACATTTTCGGCTCAAATATTTTTATGAATATCCCCAAGTGCTCATTATATAAACAAGTTAATCACTTAAAATATGTTGCTTCTCTTATTTGTAAGTCGAAAGGTCTCAAGCCTATCTGATTTGAAGCTCATGTATATGACTAAAGTAGGTGATATATTTTATGTGATTAACATACAAAAGTTTTTTCTAGAATCTAAAATGAAATAAAATAAAAACTTTCACATATAACAAACGTAAAAATCATATTCGTATGTTATAGCAACAATTTTGCATAATTGCGCTTCATAGCGAACTTTACTTTGCTATTTCGCTATACATATATACAAAAGGCAGTGGTTATGCATATATACAAACGAAGCAATTATATAATCTGTTTCGGTATACATATACAAAAGAATCAATTGTATAATTTGTGTTTGTAAAAAGTGAAAAAGAGAGAAAGCCAAAAGAAAACTGAGCAGGGAAAGATCGTATTTGTATAATCAATACGTGTATAGGACGAAAATATATGCAATTGTATTTGTATATACAATTCTCTCTCACTTTATACAAACACAAGCACAATATATACATTTTTGTTTGTATAAAATAAGAGAGGCGAGTAAGATTGGCGAGTGAGATCTGGGAGAGAGGAGAGAACGAAACCAGAATATATGTATATATATACAATTTTCTCTCACTTAACATAAACACAACTCATTTTATACATTTGTGTTTGTATAAAATGAGAGAGGCGAGTGAGAGTGGCGAGCGAGATCTGGGAGAGGGAAGAAAATGAAACCAAAATATATACGTATATATATATACAATTTTATCCCGCTTAATACAAACACAAACACATTTTATCCATTTGTGTTTGTATAAAATTGAGAGAGGCGAGCGAGACTGCCAGTAAAAGAAGAGTGTCGAGCGAGATTCCACCAAGGATAGAGTCAAAAATAACAACAGTTTGATGTAAGATACAATTAAATCAAACTGTAATTACAACATTCAATTTGAATTAATAATTTACTATCATATACAATTTTCGCAATAAAAAATATCTAATAAAAATATTTTATTACGTATTAAAACAAGTCATAGTTCAAGTCATCTATCGTTAATTTTATGGAAAAATAACTTAAATACACAATTATAAGTTTTATATTCTCTAATTTTTCCTTCTTTTTTTAAATATTACCTAATTCCCTTTTTTTTAATTTTAGTGTAAGTTTATAGATACATTACATTCTCTCTCCTATAATACACAATTATCCATTTTAATGCCTATTTTTTCTCCATTAAAACACTCAACCTTTTAAATCAGTTTTTGGATTTTGAATTTTCTCCATTTAAACACTCAACCTTTTAAATCAGTTTTTTGATTTTGAATTATTAATTTTAATTAATTTTAAATAAAAGACCCAATTTTGAAATTTTGAATTTCAAAATTCAAAAATTTTGAAATTTCAAAAATCAGAACAACTTCTCTTAACTTCTCCCGTTTTGTTCTTTTAAATCAGTTTTTGGATTTTGAATTTTCTCCATTTAAACACTCAACCTTTTAAATCAGTTTTTTGATTTTGAATTATTAATTTTAAATAAAAGACCCAATTTTGAAATTTTGAATTTCAAAATTCAAAAATTTTGAAATTTCAAAAATCAGAACAACTTCTCTTAACTTCTCCCGTTTTGTTCTTTTAAATCAGTTTTTGGATTTTGAATTTTCTCCATTTAAACACTCAACCTTTTAAATCAGTTTTTTTATTTTGAATTATTAATTTTAATTAATTTTAAATAAAAGACCCAATTTTGAAATTTCAAAAATCAGAACAACTTCTCTTAACTTCTCCCGTTTTGTTCTTACTCCATCAAGTTTCAGTTCTTTTTTTTCCATAATCATCTTCCTTCTCTTAAAGATTACTTACTCCGCCATTGCAACTTCAACGTAAACCCACATGCTTGACAACTCCCAAAAATAAAAACCCTAAACCCCCAAGTTCAGTTACCGAAGAAACAAATTTCAATCAGAGGAAAGATTAAACGAACAATCAAAAAGCAGATGAATTTGGTAATCTTCTTGTTCTTGGAGGCAAGCAGATGAACTGATACATGTTTTGAAAATTGTTATAATGTATCATTCACTAAGTTTAATAAATGTTTCATCCACTGTACTTGATGATACATATAGAATCAATGTGTATATTGTTTAGGCAATGTTTCTGATACATGTATTAGATATGTATCACATGTTATAATGTTTTAGTTAATTCACTGATACATGTAGTAGACATGTATCACATGTTTTTCATGTAGTATGAATTTCTGAAAACTGAAACCATGTATCAGTAAGTTATTAGTTGTTTTATTTAGTATTTATATTTCAATATCATTATAATTTGCTGTTTTATTTTCAAATTGCAGCCACTGAAGTACAAGATTAAAAAGATATCAACACATCTCATAAGGTTTGCTGACAATTTTAACAACAATTTCCTAAAGGACTTTGAAAAATATATAGGGGAGAATATTATCCAAATGTTTAATGATATGTTACCTAATACATAGGGGAGAACGTTATCCAATTACGTGCTGATTTTATGGTGATTAATGATCTGTTACCTTAAATTAAGTTGTTTTAGTAACAACATTAATTGTACCGTTTTTTCTCAATTTTTTTCTCAACAGTTTAAACTTACCATGTATCATTTACCATGTATCACTAGAGTCTAAAGTATCACGAAACAACAAATTTATGGAATTTTTTGTAAATACTAATTTTATCGGGACAAAATATAATTATTGAATTACACTATGCGATTTTTTTACTAATTTTATTATATAGTCAATCTTATTAATTCATGGTCATTCCAAGTCAGTCAACGTACGGTCCATTTTCTCTCTGTCAATTTCTTAAAATTAAAAGGGTCATTTTATATATAATTAAAAATAACATTTTTTAATCCCTCAAAAGAAAAAAGAAAAATGGCTTTCACTGTTGATTGATTCATCCGCAGAGAGATATTTTCAGGTAAACCAAAATTCTCGATAATTCAAAACAAAAAATCTCCAATTCCCCAAAATTACAGAAAAAACAGTTATCATTGTTTTCTCCATGTTTTTCTCTTCCAGTCACCATTTTTCATCAATCATTTCTCCTCCTAAATTCCCATTTCTAAAACTTTCGCACAAATCCGTCGACCCCTTTTTTCTTCCCTAACAACAAACGAAAAAAAATAATTAGAATTTTCCGTTTAGAAAACCATTTTTTCCGGTGATGTTTTCGGGGTAGTTGCTAACGTGCGCCGTTACGGGAGTTTTTTTTTTTGAAAAAAATAATCTGAGCCGTCCACGTGGAGGTTCTGGATTGTTCTAGACCGTTAGGATGGAAACGGAAACAATGGGGGTGGGGGTGGGGAAGATGAATTGGGGTACGTGGGAAGAGCTAATACTTGGTAGCGCTGTTCGCCGGCATGGGACCAGAGATTGGAACGTCGTCGCATCGGAGCTCCGTGCCCGGACTTTATATCCTCACTGTTTTACCCCTGAGGTATACACTTATTTACAATTACCTGCCACTGTTTTTTTTTATTTTATTTTATTTTTATGATAGAGACAACACTACTTTTTGATTATTTTTTTTTCTGGTCTGTTCGTAATCTCCGTGTTTTTCTTCCGTTATAAAAGAATTATTCTTCTTTGTCGGATAGTTTGTTTATTTGTTTATTCATTTCAATTATGCTTCTGCTTCGATTTCCTTATCAGACTGATTTTGTGGGGCCCAATCTCATAGGATAAATTACTAAATAATTGAGTTGAAATTAAACAAATAAATTGAAATAACTTAATTTATTTTTAAAGATCGTGATTTTTTTTTTAAACAGATCAAAAAGAAAAGAAAGATAGTAGTAGTATTAATTGGATAGATGTAAAGACCCTTTCTTTTTTGTTTGTGTCACTGTCTGTCCCTAGTACTAAAAATTGAGTAGATAGAATTACAAATAGTAGTATTATTGTTGAATGTTGAGTGTTGAGGTGGAGGGGTGGCCTAATTATGTGGCAGGAGGAGTTTGGTTGGTAGACTGTCAATGTGGACC